AATCATATCTAAAACACAGAACCTTTCTCAATCGGTCATTTTGCATGACATTTACAAAGGAGTATTATCATGTTATTATGGTACTGACAAGACCCAACAATGTAGACACAAATCTTAAGACAAAGGGGTGTAGATTCGATGCTTAATTAACGCAATTACCTGAACAAAGTGGGGTAGGCTATATCTGGAGACGAAGTAATCTGGTGCTCACTGCTCAATTGTTTTGTTAACGGTCATTTGATGGCACTAAATAGAAATGACAATTACAATTCAACTTTGAGAAAGAGATTTTAAAGATTTTTAGTGTTTAGTGTATTATATAGTCATTCTTTATTTCTTTTCTTTTTCTTTGTTAAACCATAAAGTTTTGACTATATATATATAATAAAATTCTGAGTCGAATTTGTACATTAAATATTTTTTGGAAAATGTTACTGAAACATTCATTAAGGTATTATTGATACAGAGATCGAACCTATAGCTTTTAGAAAATTTGTCTCTCTTGGACGCGTCACGAGAAAACCACTGGACAGATTTTTATAAAATTTGGTATGATGATATTTAGTTATCCGGGTTATCATATAGGATACTTTTTACCGCGGGAAAATATCTCATTTTTGAGAAAAAATACAAAAACTGCAACGTAAGAGTATACTAATATGTAAAACCTAAGAATTTAGTTTTTTGTCATCTGAACGCGGGCGGAGCCGCGGGCAATGCTAGTTTTTACTATAATATCGTATAACAATTACGTCAAAATCGAAATCCATATTGTAGTTTGTATATAATTAGAATTTATGCAACAAACTTCCATCTCTCGCATGATTTTTGATTTAATTATAGCACGTTAATAAAGAAAATTTTACTTCTTATCTTATCCTACGAGTATTAATGTTATAAACGTGAAAGTTTGTGAGGATGGATGGATGTTTGTTACTCTTTCACGCAAAAACTGCTGAATGGATTTTGATAGAACTTTACATTAATATAGCTTATACGGATACCAGATAGTTGATACACTACACATATATAACTTTAAATACATACATATTATAAATATAAACACCCATGACTGGATACAAACATTCGTAATTTCGATAGTAATTATAATTCGATAATGCCCCAACATAATTCGTTGGCTTACTATTACAAGGTTCTATGACAATTTTAATGAAGTCTAGTAATTTTTACATAGAACTTCCTTATTTTGTTATCGTAAAAAAAACAAACATAGAACTATGTAAAATTGAATATTTTGTAGTTATAGTGCCGCTATCTAGTGGTTTGTTTTTGCAAAACTGTAGCTAATGACACATAGAACCTTGTAGCATTAATAACTAAATAAGTAATAAAATTGTAACATAGAATCTTGTAATAGTGAGCCAACCAACATATTTTAATAGAAGAATATTAGTTTTAATATTTCCTTTATATTAAAAAAAATACAGAGAAAAAAATTATACGCCTACAGAACCAAAAGTCTTGGGTTCAAATCTGTTCAAGTTTAGTTATTATTTATTTCTGTCAATAAGTTCTCGATAACAATCCGAAGTGCAGCAGCAACAGAGAGCGCATAAAGGTGTCGGTTCGGTGCCTGATTTGTCAAAAAAAAACTACATATTTTTTGTGAAAAACCAAAGTTTTCATTGAACTTTGAAAGCTTGACCTTTAAGTTTTCTGCACATAATCATCATAATATGACTTTATTGCCCATAGACAAGTAAACATTTGAAACTAAAAGCCAAATAAAGCTTATTTAAAAGAATTAAAAATATTTTATTCGTTATTTGAATATAGCAATATATATATATATATATATATATATATATATATATTTATTCGTTCTTTGAATTTAGCAATTCATTTTTGACTGTCACCCTATACTTTTTTTAGATAAAATAGAAATGACAATTTTTATCTAACATTGAAATATCCTGGAATTTATTGCGTTGTCTCTAAAGCACACACGTTTTTTAACATTTTTTATTATATAGCAGTAGAAACTTTTATTCTTATTTGATTTCTGTTGCAAAAATGCTTACTTCGTGCATGAAAAGAAATAGTTATTACATATTACTCAGTTTGTTATTGACAAATCTGTATTTTGTTTCATTTCAGGAGTATTAGTCCAGTCAAATATGGTCTGAATTCAACATTTTGGCATTCAATTTTGCATTTTTATATGTAGTGTTAATTATACAAAAATAATATGTAAAGGTTTTCGTATCTGCAACCCCCGGCAAGGATTGAAATTTTTTTTGTCAAAAGTGTTTTTTCGCAATTACTCGAAAACAGTAAAAAATAGACAAAAAAGTTTTAATAAAAATGTGTAGAGCTTAAAATTTTACATAAAAAAGGTGGCTTTTTCCTCCGGTCAAAACTAACCGAGTTAGGGAGGTTTTAAGTTTAAGGAATGAACGTAAATTTAAAAAATTCGTAGGTAGTACAAAACTAAGCATTTTTTTTAAATTGCTTAAAAAATCTAATCTTTAATTTTAGATATATATATTTTTTTTTATTGTAAAAATATTTAACAATTTGAAAATTTCAAATTGAAATTTCAATACTTAAAAATTAATGAATAATTAATTTTTTGCCATATTTTTACGAGGAATCTCGTAAAATTTCCTAAATTTTTCGATTGAAAAAATATTTTTACCTGGTATATTTCGAAGAGCCGGCGAGAAATTCAACAGTCACTCTTTTAAAAATTGCATTACATAATTATTTATAAAACTAACTTTCAGTATTAAAAACAATCCATGACTAGTCAATACTGGGTGGTACCGACATCTGCTTCATGTGTCAAGCGCGAGAAAAACAAATGAAAATCTGCGTCGTTTTTATTTTTTTAAATACATTATATTTATACATAAATCATTACAAATCTATACATATAATAAAATTGTAACTAAGCCGAATCTGAACATTAGATATTTTTTGGAAAATCTTATTGAAATAAACATTATTATCGATACTGAGGCTGAATCTATAGTTTTTAGAATTTTTGTCTGTCTGTTACCGTATCACAGAAAAACCACTAGAGGGATTTTTATGTAGTATGATGATAGCTGGTTATCCGGATCAACATATAAAATACTTTTTATCGCGGGAAAATATCTCAATAGACAGACAGGCAATTTTTTTAAAAACTATACATTCGGTCTATGTATCGATAATATGCATTATTCTTGCACTAATGTCGGGCATATCCTTGACTTCACGAGTGCTGATAAGATACTAAATATAATATTGTCTAAAAATAATAAAAACTCTTTAACAAAGAAATAAAAATCAACTTCAAAAAAGCACTAAAAAGTAAATTTTATGATAGGTAGTTTTCATTTACAATATGTACATACCTAATCAAATATTTTCGAAGACGGTGTGCTTTGCTTTATATCGGCTGGCATAAGTTACAGTTGTTTTCTTTTTTTTTGCACATGATAACTTTATAAATATTATAGCCAGATAGTATGTTGTTTTCTTATATAAATATATTAAAAAGCATCCATTACTAATAATAAAATTAGAAATGTTCATTTAGCAACAACCATTATTAAAATTTTATCAGATCAAAATTCAATTTTTTTAAAGTTTTTTTTAAAAAGCTACCAGGAGGTATAATAGATTTCAATGAAACATATTACTATATTTTATTTGTTTATCATCACTATGTCTACGTGCATCACAAAAACTAAGAAGACGCTTTTTACTTTAAAGCAATCTAAATTAAAATTAGCTGAAACTTTACTCAAAACGCCGATTGCAAAATATAACTTGATGTCCCTTATATTGTAGAGTACCTGTGGACTAAATAGGAACTTAATTTGTACGTACTCTTCTTCTCCCTGCCCATTTCCCAATCACTTGGGGTCGGCGCAGTACATCTTCCGTCCCCCCCTACGTGCATTCACCTTGTCGTAGTGGGGGGGGCTCAATAGTGCCCGGCAATACAGCCGGGCGCGAAGCCAAGAAACGCACAGGGAGGTGGCCCACTTCGGTGGGCGGTGGGAGGCGGCCCTCTTCGGAGGGCGGTTAACCATGCGGGTTGCTCCTGGTACTTCTCTGATAGCAGAGTGGACTTTGGAGCAACCCCGTGATTGTTGTGGTCTGCATCGGCAGACCTGCCGTCGGGCGTCGTAGTTGAATGCGTAAGCGATCCTGCGACGCCCCATTAAGATGGGGGAAGGCTTTGTTGGGTTTTAGTGGGTAGTACTGGCTTTGCCAGTGAGTCCCACACCTCGTGCGTAAATACATTTTTCCCAACGTTAAAAAAAAAGTACATCTTCCGTATTGCTAATAGGATTTGGCAAAAGTTTTACGACCGGCCGCCTGCCTGACGTGAACGTCAACTTCTTTATAATTCTTCTTTTTACAATTATTCTTTATAAATCTTGAAAATTTTGCTGTTAAAAATGAGAATTGATAAGAAAGGAAAAATGATAAGGCATGGTACAAATTAATGAGAAGATATACTTGTATAAACAGTTGTAATAAAAAAACTAAACAATTTATTGAAATTTCAATGTAAAAGCTTGTGTTAAATTGGTAAATAATATATTATTGACTAAGATATTTTATTTACATTTAAAAATATCTTTAACACACAAAAATAAGTTGCTTGATACACGTAAATACAAAATGTGTCTGCAGGAAATACTCACAGGTAAAAGTATAATATGAAATAAAATAAATAGTTTATAATTCATGCATTTAATGCGTCAAATAGACTACAGTTGAAATTTTCTAATAGCTTAAAATTACTGTTTAAAAGGAAGGAAAAATTATCAAATATTGTCAATATTTATATAATATCGTAGATGAAAATGTAAGGGTATTTCGTAAGACTCATGTTGACTATCACTTTGTTGTGATTTAGTCAGATAGAACATCTGTATACGACTAGGTCACTCGGCGGTGACCTAGTTGTATAAAGATGTTCACTAGGCACTGAGTCAGTTATATAGGTATAGATTTTCATTATTTTTGATTATTTACATTGACTTAATCGTATAACTTTCTCTAGGCATTAGATCAGTAGTAGCATTTGTTTGCATAAATCTTACATCTTTTTCGCAGACAAAAGCACACTCTTTATAACATGGATTATCATTTAAAAAACCTTCACGGTTTACGTTGCCACAATATCCATTGTTTGGCTCTCCTTTTTCCCATGAAGAGTATCCAGAATCTTCTAAGCGTTCACCTAAAATAAAGATATCATAATTGACCTACATATTTAATATTTTAATTATTAAACACTACGGATTTCTTTGTTAGTAGATTGATTTATTGCCAAAGACATCGGTTTGATTATTAGGTGTATGACGTATTTTATCGTTTGAGGTTATTTTTTGTAAGTGAGAATAAAACACTTTATCATTTCAGCATTTGGTATACAAAAAGGAGTAAAAGTGCCTTTGAGAAACCATGTAAAAGTAGAACTTATAAAACAAACTCACCATGAATCGTATACCATCGTTTGTTTTGTTCCCAGTCAACAATACCGATACTCATGACATCCGGTTGGCCAGATTTTATAGTGGAACTAGGATGTTTTGCAAAAATTTCTTTTAGCACTTGTGCCTCATCATTATTATTAATTATTGCTAAGTACGCTTGTTCTACAAAGCAAGTTTTGTACGCCTCAACCCACGGCTTTGCTTCAATATGGAACTTATAACAGCTACCAGTTCTCTTGTCCAATACGTAATCTGTAATAAAGATTCGAAATATAAATCAATACCCTGAAAATACTAATAAAGACTAAGAAAAATAGTGTAATACTTATTAACACGTTCGCTGCGTAAAGATTCTGAGATAACTTTCATTGAGTTATTGGGTCGAAACACAGACAATATAATGTCTCTGGGTCGAAAATATAAGAGTGATAGGAATAGAGAGTGCACTTGTGTCTGCGCGCATACCTGTGCACTATAATATCTCCTGCGTAACTGGCTAATCTTAATGACATTGGCCACCGTGGCAAGAATCGGTCAGGAGGACATTATTATTATTATTCCACAAAATGCAAGAGATATCTATACCGCACCAACGGTAAGGCAAAGGTTTTTCGTGCCGCACTTCGGATAAGTCTTGTATCGGGTGGATTCTACCTATTACCACAGTGAACGTGTTAAATAAAATGGTAAATATGGTTTATTATTTCACATTTTTTGCAGACATAAATTACGAAAAAGTTTTGTAATCACATAAAATGTACCTAGTCTAATGATGACAATGCTTCAACCAAATAAAATATTTATACGGCTAATATATTTCTAATAATAATTAAAAAAATTTAACACTGCTTTACTTGGTAGTGAAAAAAAAGGTTATTGCATCATATAATTCTTCAAAATGATTACCTTTATCAAACGTTCCACATGATGTTAATTCCAGACCATCATTATCACGTTTGTAGCAAATATAAGGATGATTCTCCCAACAACTGCCGCTCACCAGAAGTCCATCCTCCAACACTCCACAGGAGTGATCAGAGTTCTCCAATGGACCGACACCCAAATGATCCATCAAGATTTTTAATGGTATTCCTGTAAATAGATTTAGATGTATACATTGAAAATTTTGATTAGATTTTCTTAAATTTTTCATTATCTATGAATATTCTATGAAATTATTTTTAATATGTGAATAATAGTAATTCGACTAAAAATACAATATAATGATATTACCTTCAATTGAATGCCATAATTTACTGGAAAATGTTGAGTGTATTCCGATGTGGATCCGATCGATATTATAGGCTTTTGTGTAATTATCTAATGAATTTTTTATCGGTTCATTCAAAGGCGATGCCAAAATCGCACCTATAATTAAAAAATAACATTTAACTTACTTTTCATTACTTCCTCTTCAACGATATTCACTATATTTCTTCGATCAACAATACTACTTAATCACTCCTGATTTATCACATATTGATACTGATCACATATTGTATTGTTGATCGAAGCTATGTTTAATATATTATAATATTCTAAATCGTCTTTTAACTTTAAAATTGCTAATGTTGTTAGCACAAAAACGAAAATTCCATGTTTCAATATGTGTATCCCACCAAAAACATTTTAATGTAAAATGTTGCCAAGACGAGTCCATATGGCTAGGACTGTCAAAAAGTTATCAGATCTCATATAGAGCCCAGCTTCTGACTCTACACGCCCCAACTTTACAAACTCTACACCTTAGTCAAAATATATAGCTTGACCGTATCGTTACTACAAGTACTATTGTATAACAGAAAAGTAATGAACAGTAAGTAAATTTTTCACTTTACGCCCATGTGACGGTAGCGAAACGGCCAAGCCCCATATTTTAACTAAAGTGTAAAGTTTGAAAGGTTAGGGCTTGTAGAGTTAGGGCGTGTAAAGTGGATACTTGCATCCCCTAGTTTAAGGGATTGGGGGATAAAAGTTATAAGTTTTAGAACTTTTTGTTGTTTATGCGCTAATAATAGCTTACAAACCAAATTTCAGCTTTCTAGGACTTCAGAAAGTACCTTAAGGATTTTGATGATCATCAGTAAGTCAGTGACAAAATCAAAAAGTTTTTTAGATATCAATAAAATCTAAAGTGTAAGAGCTATGTAATTGAAACTTTATATGTTAATTAGTACTATTGAAATCATATCCCAAGAATTTTGTTTATCTGGTATAATCCAAACCCAAGTTATGAGGGTTCAAAAAAACGACGAAGCGCATCGATAAAAGGTAGATGTGCCCTTGCGCTTCACTTGGCTCATCTTGGCGGGAACACTACCGTGCCCCCAGATATTATACATGTATATATACAGAAATAAGATTTTGTCAGTTAGACACTTAAATAGTCCCATATTATCATCATAAAGGGTATTCGTCAAAACGAATCAATTAGGCGCAAATACGCAAGTCCTAATGTTAGTTAACGAAAAGTTTCACTACTCCCCTGGCGTCATCAACAGATCAGTTCGAAAAAACCAGCAAGCATAAGTCTATTAAAATCCACTTCCAAGATTTGATTATATAGTAAATTATAAGTATGATAAAATAGCAGAAGATCCAAATTAATAATAATAATTTATACTTTGATCATATTTAGTAAAACAATCCATCTGCGAAAATATGGTATATATTATGTATTACATTCTTTATTTTTCATTAAGTAAGTAGATGGGTGGAGGATGACTTAATTTTGGATAATAGATTCGGATAGACCATGTTTTAAACGCGTTCTAAAATATATATTGTTTTGAAATAAATAAAATTTAAAAGCATGTACCTTCCAAATTGCACATCTTGCGTGCTCTATGCCAGGTTGTTTTTACTCTGTGGAGTTTAAGCCAAACCTTCGCATCTTCATCATATTGATAATCCACATTTATATACTTGGCTTCTGCAAGAAACATTAATGTATATATTTGTATCGGTTTCAGTCATCGGCTAATTAAATATTTTACCAAGAAAGACAACACATTAAAAAGCTATTGTTTCAACAATATTATGATATTGATTAATTAGAAGAATTCAATGTTATTTAATTATGGGTGATAGAGCATAAACAACTTACCCACGTAGTAAATCGCGAATATCAAAATAATATGCTGCAAAATCTCCATGACACGTTATATCGTTTTGCAAAGTACCTTCTAAGTATAATGATATACTTGAAAGATTTTTAAATAGTTGATTAAATGATATTATTGAAATTAATATGATCGGAATTTACGCAAAATAATCAACAACCGTTTATTAGCTGACACTTTGACCTGGGAATTAATGTCTATTTTATAGTCTTCATTGGGAAAAGGATGTAAACTATATAAAATATTTGAAGAATTTTTAAATTGTCGCATTGTTTATTTACATAATATCAGTTGGGAATAAAAGTATAATTTAAGCACAAGTTGTCTTTCTGACAGTACCTTTAGCTCTGACATAGTCTTGGACCGATGGTACAGTTGGAATAATCTTACATTATGACCATCAGGAGTTCTAGTCACCGAGTCTAGGCTCCATTATCAAATGTACTTCTAAGGAACATAAATTATATTGTCAAGTTTTTATATTGTGTTCATATACTTGTATAAACTGCCTCGTTGGTCTAGTGGCTGGTATATATGGCAGGGTTCGAGTACTAGGTCAGGTCAAAATGGCTATAGTCTATATATATATATATATATATATATATATATATATATATATATATATATATATATACATGGGTTTGATGAGTTGTTATGGGTTGTATTATAACGTATTTTTCCATTAGAATGAGATAATCTCCCGCAGTAAAAAGTAGCACTCTCCAGCCCTCCAACTATCTCCACACAAAAAATCAAACCAATCCGCAACTCTTTTCCGTCGTTTATCCGTTTTGAAGTGATAGAAGGTGTAACAAATAAACATACACACATTTACATTTATAATATTTGGATCTCATACCGAGTATATTTTTTTCAAATAATACCTTATTTTAGTCGATAAAAAGGTCACACAAGATAAAGCAATGTCTCATTGCACGTAAATTCCCATAATCTACTGAACTGGTACAAAAACACTATAAAACAAGCTTTTTGCTGCTATCTCGCACGCGCTATGTCCTTTATATGAAAGCGGATGGGCCAAAAGTTATAGGATGCAGAACCAATTCTTCCGCTATTTCCCGTGGATGTGTATATGTGTGATTGATAAAAATTCTTATCCTATTTCATGCAAAAGTCATATATGTTGGAGACAAATAATAATCACAACTAATCGGAACGCGAGAGCCATCTTTTTGGCCTCGACAGAGTGTAGGTGGTGACACTCGATCGAGCTCAGCTGGGTTACGCTTGGTCGATCGCACAGTGAATACTAGTAGAAACTGTCTCGGCTCCGTGTTGTCTATACTGGCAATAGTGAAGTGCTATATGGTTGTGTAGTGAAGTGCTGTGTAACTATGTACTGAGTAATTATTGTTAATTTGAAATACAACTTTGATTGCAACGAGTTTTCTTTATTTGAATTTACACTTCCCGTAAAACGCCCACCGTACTTATGACATAGTAAAATAATGGAAAATAATGGTTAAATTAATGCTGCTTCGATATATAGAAAAGAACACTTTCAATTTATCCCAAATTTCTCAATTCCGGGCAATTTTCCCTATTAACCTCGCTAGGACTACTACGGAAATAAAAGAAATGTAGCCAAATCGGTTTAACCGTTCACAAAGTTTCCTTACCCCGACTTCTTAGGAACCGCATTTTTTTTTCCTATAGATATGGATTGATAGACAGGTCGAGAAATCAAATTGACATATATAAATATATACGACAGATAATTTGTGGAAATTCCATTTTAACTTGGAGTTTACAATAACAACATTATGTATATAAACTTTCAAATATGTCACCACACTCAGATGTACGATAAACATCGAAAAAAAACATATCATGAAGCTCTTACAGTATATTATTTTTTTGATTTTCGCTTTTTACTTTGTAGGTAAGTGTTTAGCACTCATTTAGTTTAATACGTAGCATTAAAAAATAAATTAAATATGTTAAACTAAAAACAAATTAAAACGCTGATCGTTTAGTCAGAAGTATCATACTTATAAACAAAGATTAATAAAATATAAAGGAATAACTATGTGGAAATGTTATTTTTGCAGATACCAAATTTTTAGACCAGTTTTATCAATACGATGAGAATGCAAAGGTTTGGTTAAAACTCCACAAAATAAAGACCACTTGGCATGAAGCACGCAAAATATGCAATATGGAAGGTAAGTTCAATTTTTGCTAAACGGAAAAGAAATCTAAACATTTTTTAGTTTTTTAAGATATATTTTTTTATTTTAAAGCGAATAATATTGTGTTTTTTTTAATTATAGATGCAATTTTAGCATCGCCATTGGATGAACAGCTAAAAGATGCATTGGGTACTTACTCAAAAGCCTACGGCATTGATCGATTATATGTCGGAATACACGCAACGTTTTCTAGTAAAATATGGCATTCTATTGAAGGTATCCTATTATTCACTGAAAACTTATTAGACTTATTTGAGGCTAAAATTATGTTAAACTGATTTACATCTCACCATAACACAACTTTATTATCGATACGATTTGTTTAACCCTTTACTTGCACTTTATATATATCATCATAATGATAAATGGTCATAGATTTATCGATGATACATACTACATATAATACATATATGTATTTACTAACTAATATATAACTGCCTCGGTGGTGTAGTGGCTACCATGTACTGCTGCATACTCGAAGGCCCTGGGTTCGAGTCCCGGGTCGGGCCAAGTTTAGTTATTGAGTCTTTCTGTAAGCCTCAGTAACAGCCCGGAGTTGGGAAATTGGCGATGTTTCGAAGAGCACGTAAAACCGTCGGTCACGCACCGGTCGTGACAGGAATAGAGAGTGCACTTGTCTGCGCGTACACTTGTGCACTATAATATCTCCTGCGCAGTTGCTAATCTAAAAATAAGGTAAATCTCAATGAGTTTAAATTATATGTATTTACACTTATTGCTACATATTAAAATATGGTTTCAGGAATACCATTAGAGAATTTAGAGGATCATTTAAATATTAGTCAAATGTGGAGCAGTGACTACCGAACCTGCGCAGTCATGGAGGCTGGATCTCTGATAAACGTCGGATGTCAACAGATGTTTCCGTATATTTGCTACAAAAGTGACAATGTTATTAGGGAACTTACAGCCTGTGGAACTAATGATACAGGTATTTCAACCAATCAATAAAGAATTAGTTATAAAATATTCAAAAGAGCGAAGCAGTCTCCAAAATTTTCACAAGATATATATATATATATATATATATATATATACTTTTATTAGCTATTAAAATATTTTCGTTAGTACTCAAACCAAATCGTAAATACAAGTATTTTGTTTGTTTCCCAAGTGAAAATTGCATAATTTGAGTTCTATTTCTTCACAGCTTATCAATTGGACAATAGGACTGGAAATTGCTATAAATTCCACGCTGATGCAAGGTCGTGGGTCGAAGCATACGAAACTTGTTTTGCAGAGGAAGCATACTTGGCGATAATCAATAGTCATACTGAGGCACGAGTCTTAACAGATATTTTTTCTAATCACCCTAGTAACATGATCCACGCTGACCATCCAAATGTCATGAATATTGGTATGATTGATTGGGAACATAACAGAGAATGGTATACAATTCATGGTAAGTAATTTACGAGTAGTACTTTCTTCGATTTACACGAATATTTGGCATTTGAAATTTTAAATAAAGCTATCTTTTCGTGTGTTTTCGCGGATTTTTTGATTTTTGGTACTTGACGTTTCGAATGCTTTACAGCATTCATGGTCACGGAAAAAACTAAGGTTTTAGACGTCTCAAAGGTCATTATATATTATTTGTTACAGACAGTGCCTACCTACAATTTGATTTCAAAAAATAAAAAAATGGCACTGAAGTACCCTACAATATTTGTATTAACAATTGAATTTACAATTATTTTAGTGTGGCTATTATTATATGTATAACCATATATAAATTAAGAATTAAAAATTTTATATTATTATTTATTTAAGCAATATTATCCTTTTTATATGTAAATTAAAAAAGTTATAGTATTAATTTAGATTGCTTATTTAAAGTTAAAATATTATAACACTATGTATTGCCTTTACAGATAAAAATATTAATCTGAATTCTCATCATTTCAATCCACACATTACGAACTAACTACATCTAATGATCTGTTATGTTTACTTTTGTTGTTAGATTTTATTATGTTAATTACAGGATCCCACAATGATGGTAGTAATTTACGAGTAATATACATAGGATTTTGTCCTCTGTTTCGTAACATTATATGTTTGGTTAATTTATGTAAATAGTTTTTAAAGATTAATCCTCAGTTAACGTGTTGAGTTGAACTTCTTACTTTATTGGAATTTGAAAAACATTACTGTCATATGAGAATTATTGAAAAAACTTGTAATTGAAAATATAAATCTCTAAGCCTTTTTATAAATGTATATTCTTTTTCAGGTGAACCTATACAAGATGCTGGTTATGCTTCGTGGAGTAGGGGAGAACCAAATAATGCGGATCTAATTGAATATTGCGGCTCCATTTACAGAAATGGTCTTTTAAATGATGAAGCGTGTTTAAAAAAGAATGTTTTTATCTGTGAAAAAGATGTAAGATTTGTGCAAAAGGAAGACACTACTGAAAAACTATATACGATTGTGTCTGAATCTAGTAAAAATCTGTATTCGGCCGAATCTGAACGTAGTTAAAATCTATATGCGAATGAGATTGAACCTAAGAAAAATCTGTAAACGGCTGAGTCAAAATCTAGTGAAATTCTATATACGGCTGAGCCAGAAACTAGTGAAAATCTGTATACAACTGAACCTGAACCTAGTAAAAATTTATATACGAATGAGTTGGAACTTAATGCAAAAGTACTTATTGAAAAAAAAATTACAGACTAAGTCAAGAACAGTGCGAGTGTGTGAAAATGTACGAAGTAAATTAACATTTCCTGAAATAACTTCTGAGTTCAATCTTCCTCCAATACGACTTATTGCAGTTGATAATATACTATATAATATTGAAAGACCTTTTGAGAGATTTTATTGATATTTAAATACAACTGATTGAACCCCTATTGAAAAAGTATTGTAACATTAGAACAATGTATTGAAATAAATTACATTACTGCAATAAATACATGGATAATTATTTTTTGTTAATTCGTTTTTTTACTTTCAACTGTTCCATATTTTATACTTTTAAGCATTTCAACAACAACTAAATGGTTTAGCTAAGAAAATCAGATATTTTACGCCAAAAAAAGTGAGTGAGTATATTTTTCTTATTGCGACTCTTTATTTAGGTCATGCGAATTCGTCAGAAAAAAAATTGAAATAAATTTAAGGCTATTGCCATTCGTCCGATAATCGGATGAGTAAAAAATATATTATTCGTCCCGACTATTGTTGGATTGTACGAATATTTATCACTTTTTTGTTTTCTAATGTAAAATAAGTCATTTTTAGATTCAGGCGTTTCTACTGGCAAAAAAATAACCTTAACCTACCGACCTAGAAACTTATCGTTTTAGATCTCTACGATTTTAAAGTTCAAGAGTTTTTAATTACACATTAAAATTTACCTTTGTAGATATTTTTTTGTAAGATAAGTAAATCTCGCGATAACTTTCGTATCACATAAATTGTGTTATGTAAAAAATTGATGGGTTTGTTTTTTTTTCAGCGTATTTAAATAAAAGTTTGTGTGTGTTTTTGTACCATATGTTATGCATACTTTATACAATCACTCTAGATTCACTTTAAAACTTAGTCTTGTATACCACATTGGTAAATATATAATGATAAATACAAAATGTATTTACAGGAAATACTCATAGGTAAAATTAAAATATGAAATAAAAGAAATAGTTTATAATTTACACATTTATTGCGGCAAAGTGACAGTCGAAATTTTCTATTAGTTTGAAAATACTGGAAGGAAAAATTATGAAATTCTGTCAATATGTATTTGTATAATAATATAGTGGATGAAAATGTACCTTGGGTATTTCATAAGACTTATGTGGTCTATCACTTTGTTGTAATTTAGTCATATATACTCGTAGATTATCACTTAGTTGAGATGTAGTTGTATATAGACTCTCACTTTGTTGCGATTTAGTCATATATATTCTATCACTCGGCGCTGATGTAGTCGTATACATATGTTCACTAGGTACTGAGTCAGTCGTATATAGATTTTCATTATACATTGACTTAATCGTATAACTCTCACTAGGCATTGGATTAGTAGTATCATTAGTGTGCATAAGTCTTACATCCTTTTCGCATACAAAAGCACATTCTTTATAACATGGTTCATCATTTAAAAAGCCCTCACGATTTACGTTGCCACAATATTCATTTCCACCCGCATTGTTTGGCTCTCCTTTTTCCCATAAAGAGTATCCAGAATCTTCTAAACGTTCACCTAAAATAAAGATATCATAATTTACCTAAATATTTAATATTTTAATAGTTTAACACTACGAGTTCCGTTGTTAGTCGATTGATTTATCACTAAAGACATAGACTTGATAATTAGGTGTATGACGAATTTTATCTTTTGAAGGGTATTTTTTGTAAGTGAGGACAAAATACTGTCATTTCAGCACTTGGTATACAAAAAGGGGTAAAAGTGTGAGAAACCATGTAAAAGTACAAAACCTAATAGACTCTTTTATAAAAAAAAGATAAAACTCACCATGAATCGTATACCATTGTTTGTTATGTTCCCAGTCAACAAAACCGATACTCATGACATCCGGTTGGCCAGATTTAATAGTGTAACTAGGATGTCTTGCAAAAATTTCTTTTAGCACTTGTACCTCAGCATTATTATTAATTATTGCTAAGTACGCTTGTTCTGCAAAGCAAGTTTTGTACGCCTCAACCCACGGCTTTGCTTCAATATGGAACTTATAACAGCTACCAGTTCTCTCATCCAATACGTAATCTGTAAAAAAAATCGAAATATAAAAACCCTAAAAATACTAATAAAGATTAAGAAAGATAGAGTAATACTTAAATAATAATGTAAACGTAGCTTATTGTTGCATACTTGTTGCAGACACAAATACGAGAAATTTTGTAATCACATATTTAGTCTTATGAAATAAATGCGAATGCTGCGACCAAATAAAATATTTATAATGCTGATATATTTCTTATTATAAATAAAAAATCTAACACTGCTTTACTTGCTATTGAAAAAAAGTTTGTTATATCATATAATTCTTCAAAGTAATTACCTTTATCAACGGTTCCACATGATGTTAATTCCAGATCACTTTTATCGCGTTTATAGCAAATATACGGATGTGCCTTCTGACAACTGCCGCTCACCATAAATCTATCCTCCAACACACCACAGGAATGATCAGAGTTCTCCAATGGAGCAACATCCAAATGATCCATCAACATTTGTAATGGTATTCCTTTAAATATATTTTGATATATAAATTTTCGAAATTTTCAACTTGATATTCTTAAAGATTTTCATCATCACTATAGTCCATTATTTTTAATATGTGTAAGTATAATAGCAATTTGCCTAAAAATACAATATAATAATATTACCTTCAATTGAATGCCATAATTTACTGGAAAATGTTGAGTGTATTCCGATGTGGATCCGGTCGATGCCATAGGCTTTTGTGTAATTATTTAAAGAATCTTTTAATGGTTCATCCAAAGGTGATGCCAAAATCGCACCTATAATTAAAAAAATAACATTTTACCTACTTGTCATTATTTACTCATTCCTTAGCAAGCAATAATAAGTCTGTTAAAATCCACTTCCAAGATTTGATTATATTATAGTAAGTTATAAGTATAGTAAAATATTAGATAGAATATTAGAAGATCCAAATTAATAATTTATGCTTTGATCATATTTAGTAAAGCAACCCATAAGTAAAAATATGTTCATATATGTACCTTCCAAATTACACATCTTGCGTGCATCATGCCAGGTTGTTTTTATTCTGTGGAGTTTAAGCCAAACCTTCGCATCTTCATCATAATGATAATCCACATTTAAATACTTGGCTTCTGCAAGAAACATTAATGTATATATATTTGTATCGGTTTCACTCATCAGATTATTAAATATTTCTGAACTAAAAATACTATTCCAATAGTTAAGTGATTATTCCAAAATTATTATAATATTTATTAATTAAAAGAATTCAATATTATTGTTAATAGGTGATAGAGCATAAACAACTTACCCACGTAGTAAATCGCGAAAATCAAAATAATATGCTGCAAAATCTCCATGACACGTTATTTCCTTTTGCAAAATACCTTCTAAGTGTAATGATATACTTGAAAGTGTATTTAAATAATTGATTAAATTTTATTATTGAAGTAAAAATGATCGGAATTTACACAACGTAATCAACGGCCGTTTATAAGGTGACATGTTGACCTGTGAGTCAATGTTTATTATATAGTCGTCATTGGGAAAAGGATGTGAAGTATGTAATTTAGGATTTTTTAAACTGTCGCTCTGTTTATTTACATCATATCAGTTGGGAATAAAAATATAATTTACTTTAGTGGGAAATTTGTCATGTCTATCTCAAGCACAAGTTGTCTTTCTGACTGTACTTTTAGCTCTGACATATTCTTGAGTCAATGGTACAGTTGGAATAGGGCTAAATTAAGACCTTCAGGAGTTTTAGTCACGGAGACTAGGTTACATTATAAAATGTACATCTAAAGTATAAACTGCATCGTTGGTCTAATGGCTGATATGTATGGCACGGTTCGAGTTTTCCCATCGGAATGATATAATCTTCCGCAGAAAAAGTAGCCTATATCACTTCCTGGCCCTCCAACTATCTCCAGACAAAAAATCACGTCAATCCATTTCTCTGTTTCGATGTGATAGTAGATGTTCGCGAGCGTTAATTCATTCATAGTATATTTCTAGCCGAGTATATTTTAACTCAACTGCCAGGAATTTAAAAAAAAGCACGAGGAGAGTCCCACTCCTCGTGCTTAAATGCATTTCCCAACGTTAAAAAAAGAACATAGTATTATGCAGTCGGAGATATACATATATATGTACATGTTTTCTAATAGCTGGGTGTGTATGTATATTACATATGTCTCCGACTGCATAATACTATGTTCCTTTGTCAACTTCTTATCTTTTTAGTTTGCTTTTTACGCAGTCGTTTTTTTTTCAAATAATACCTTAGTTTTATTGATAAAGAGGTCACACAAGATAAAGCAGTATTCCGCTGCATGTAAATTCCCATAATCTATTGAATTGGTACAAAAACACTACAAAACTATCTTTTTGCTGCTATCTCACACGCCCTGTTTCCACTATATGCCACCGGATGGCGCGAAAGACTGCACAACCAATTCTGCCACTATTTTCCGTGGATGTGTGTATGTGTGATTGGTAAAAACTCTTATCCTATTTCATGCAAAAATGATATTATAGAAAAGAGCACTTTCTGTTTTTCCCAAATTCCTCAATTCCGGACAACTTTTCCCTATTAACCTCGTTAGGACTACTTCGGAAATTAAAAAAAAGTGTAGCCAAATCGGTTTAAATATTCTCACAGTCGCCTTTCCCAACTCCTTACGAAGAACATTTAATATATTTTTTTCTATAGATATCGATTGACAGACAGGTCAAGATATCAACTAATATACGACCGTTAATTAATTTGTATAAGTTCCATTTGAACTTGGACTTTACAATAACAACATTTCATCATGTATATAAACTTTGAAATATGTCACCACATTTAGTTGTACGATAGTTCTCCAAAGAAAATAACATCTCATGGAGCTCTTACAGTATATTATTTTGATTTGCGCTCTCTACTTTGTGGGTAAGTGTTTATTTATTTATTTATTTATTGAACTACCAACAAAAGTTACAATATTATAATACTTAAACCTTTTTTTTATAATCGTCGGGAACTGCATTTACGCATACCACCTGATCCCCCAGGTGGTGATGTGGGGCTCACCGGCTAGAAGAGCCGGTACTACCCACTAAAACCCGACATCCCTTCCCCCCGACTTAGTGGAACGCCGCAGGATCGCATGCGCATAACTACTACGGCGCCCCGGCGGCAGGTCTGCCTAAACTCTAGGCAGACCACCAAACCAATGGGGCTGCTCCACAGTCAACTCTGCTACGCCAGAGGGGTACCCGGAGAAGCCCCATTAAACCTAACCTCCGCCCACCGAAGTGGGCCACCTCTAATCGGCTGCAGAGGACAGGGAGAGCGGAAACGAAACACCGACACTCCTCTTCCTCTGCAGCCCCACCGCGTCCGCCATCAAACGGTGGGGGCCCCGTCTAGGCCGCGGAAGGTAGGGAGAACGGCGCACCAAAATACCCGCACTGCTCTCCCGCCGCGGCCTACACCTCCGCCGGATGCGGGCCTGCGACCACAGTCTCGCAACCGGCACCCATCATCCGGTTGTGGGACTAAGCGGTCCCACCACCGGTGGCCGCAACGCCTTCGGCTCGAGGCCTAGACGAGCAGCCCCACCCAAGCCATTTGGTCCGCGCCGCGCCGGACATAAAGCAATAATTATCTAAAAATGTTTTTTTTGCAGAGGCCAAATTTTTACATCTGAATTATCAATACGATGAGGGTGCAAAGGTTTGGTTAAAACTCCACAATATGAAGACATCTTGGCATGAAGCACGCAAAATGTGCAATATGGAAGGTAAGTTCAATTATTGCTATACGGAAGAGAAATATAAGCATTTTTTAGTTTAGTTCAAGTTCTTTATTGCACATAAAAATATGAGTAAAAAATTAATTCTTTAAACTTCAATGACATTGAAAATGCAGTTATAGTTGTCTTCTATTTGAAGTCTTCACTTTTACATATTTTTTATTTTATTAAAGCAAATAATATTGATTTTTTTTTATTATAGGTGCAATTTTGGCATCGCCATTGGATGAAACGCTAAAAGGTGCATTGGTTACTTACTCAAAAGCCTACGGCATTGATCGGTTATATGTCGGAATACACGCAACGTTTTCTAGTCAAATATGGCATTCGATTGAAGGTATGCTATAAATTGATTGAAAACCTTATTAGACTGTTTTGAGATTAAAATTATCTCAAACAAATCACACATCTCAGCATAAAATAAGTTTATAAATCATCATCGATATGATTATTTGTAACCCTTTACTCTCGTTGTCTCTATATACTTGCGCGATATCCATATCCATATTTCAATACTAATATTTATACTTTCATACTAATATTATAAATGTGAAAGTGTGTTTGTTTGTTTTTTTTTTCACGTCGAAGCGGAGTGACGGATTGGCTTGATTTTTGGTGTAAAGATAGAAGGAGAGCTGAAAAGTGACATATGCTACTTTTCATCGCGGGAGATCATCTCATTCCGACGGGAAAACACGTTATAATACAATCCAAAAAAATATTTTTGATTAGCATTACTTGAAACTTGGTATTAATGCTGTTCAAAGCAATTTAATAAATACGTTTTTTATTTTTCGAAATTCATCCTAGAAGGGCGTAAAATACGGAATGAAAATTTGTATGAAACCTAGGTACCTACCTTTTTAGAGATTTTTTCGTAGTTTTAGTGCAAGCGAAGCCACGGGTTCTTCTAGTAAAGAATAAATACATATAATACATATATGTATTTACACCAATGGCTTCATATTAAAATATCGTTACAGGAATACCATTAGAGAATTTAGCAGATCATTTAGATATTAATCAAATGGAGAGCAGTGACTACCGAATCTGCGCAGTCATGGAAGCTGGATCTCTGATAAACGTTGGATGTCAACAGATGTTTCCATATATTTGCTACAAAAGTGACAATGTCAGTAGAGAACTTACATCCTGTGGAACTACGGATACAGGTATTTCTAACAATGAATAGAAAATAGGTTATAAAATATTTAGACAAGGCAGGCAATTTCCAAAATTTTCGCAAGATATATCTACCTTTTTTAGCCATAAAAATGTTTTCTCAGTACTCAAACATTCTCGTAAATATATGTCGTGTAAAGTTTATTTCCAAATTGAGAATTGCATATTTTGAACTCTATTTCTTTACAGCTTATCAATTGGATAAGAGAACTGGCAATTGCTACAAATTCCATGCTGAAGCAAGGTCGTGGATCGAAGCGTACGAGACTTGTTTTGCAGAGCAAGCATACTTGGCAATAATCAATAGTTATGCTGAGGCACAAATCTTACAAGATATTTTTGCCAATCACCCTAGTAACACGATCCACGCTGACCATCCAAATGTCATGAGTATTGGTATGATTGATTGGGAACATAACAGAGATTGGTATACTATTCATGGTAAGTAATTTATGAGTAATACTTTCTTTGATTTACGCGAATATTTGACATTTTAAATGAAACTATCTTTTCGGGTTTTATTTTGATTTTTGGTTCCCGACATTTCGAATGCTTTATAGCGTTCAGGGGCACCGGAAAAATTAAGGTTTTAGATAATTCAAAGGTCATTTATTTATATATTATAGCCAACCGACAATTTTACAAAATGATTTCAAAAAATTAAAAAGCGGCACTAAAGTACCCTACAATATTGTTGATTTTAATTCTAAAGATTTTAATTTAAAAAAAGTTTTATACCTTAATTTAATACGGCAATATTATTTATTTTAATATTTAAAAAAAACTTTAATAATTAATGATATTATTTAGTGTTTAACCGTATAAAAATTAAGAATTAAAAAAATTACATTATTATATATTTAAGCAATTTTATTGTTTTATATTATGTAATTTAAAAAAGTTTAAATTTAATTTAGATTGCTCATATTTAAAGTTAATATATTAAGCAACACTATTACTAACTTTACAGTAAAAAAATATTAATCTGAATAATTATAATTTCGATCCACACTGTATGAACTAACTACATTTAATAGTCTGTTATGTTTACTTTTGTTGTTAGATTTTATTATATTAATTACAGGATCCTACGATTATGGTAGTAATTTACGAGTACCTACATACATAGGATTTTGTACTCTGTTTCATGATATTACTTGTTTAGTTACTTTATGTAAAGAGTTTTTGAAGTTTAAGTCAATGTGTTAAGTTAACACTTCTTACTTTATTGGATTTTGGAAATAATGAGTGTCATACGACAATTATAAAAAAAACTTGTACATTGAAAATAAATGTCTAAGCTTTTTTATAAAACTATATTCCTTTTCAGGTGAACGTATACGAGATGCTGGTTATGCTTCGTGGAGTAGGGGAGAACCAAATAATGCGGATAGAATTGAATATTGTGGTGCCATTTTCAGAAATGGCCTTTTAAATGACGAACCATGTTCAAAACAGAATGTTTTTATCTGTGAAAAAGATGTAAGATTTGTACAAAAGGAAGACACTACTGAAAAACTATCTACGACTGAGTCTAGTGAAAATCTATATACGACTGAATCTGCACCGAGTATAAATCTATACACCACTGAGTCTGAATCTATTGAAAATCTATATACGACTGAGTCTGCACCTAGTAAAAATCTATATACGACTGAGTCTGAATCTAGTGAGAATCTATATACGACTGAGTCTGAATCTAGTGATAATCTACATACGACTGAGTCTGAATTTAGTGAAAATCTATATACGACTGAGTCTACACCAAGCAAAAATCTATATACGACTGAATCTGAACCTACTGAAAATCTATATACGATTGAGACTGAATCTAGTGAAAATCTAGATAAGGTTGAGTCTAAACATAGTGAAAATCTATATACGACTGAGTTGGAGCCTAATGTACAGACTGAGTTAACATTCCCTGAAGAAATTTCAGAGCTCAGTCTTCCGCCAAGACGACTTATTGTAGTTGATAATGAAGTATATAATAGTGAAAGACCTTATACGACTCACAAAATTTTTACTGATAAATAAATACGACTGATTTAATTCCTATTAAAAAGGTATTGTAACATTAGAATAATGTACTGAAATAAATTAAATTTAATAATATAATATGTATAGTAATGACTACAATAAATAGATGAATATTTTTTTTCATTAATTCGTTTTTTTTACTTTCAACTTTACTAATTTTATAGTTTTTAACATTTCAATAACAACTAAATGGTATGGAAAACGGTGTAAGTATGAAAATTATATTCTTTCTTAGATAAATTAAAAGTTACATTTAGAAAAATCGCCAAAACATTCACCGTTTTCTTTAGCTGTATATTTGTGTGGTTTTTATTGAAAAGAGCTTTACACAAGCAAGCATGATTTATAGATGTTTGAAAGAGCTTTTACTCCTTAACGTGACCAATCGAGTGAAATGAGTCATATATATGGTTACTGTTAATTTGCAGGGCGAAATATTATATATTAAAATAAACGTGTTTTCTTTAAATTAAATGTCAAATATTAAAGACAGACAAGAATAGATATTAGATTAGCGATTAACCCTTGCTCCGCTCGGTTTTATCCCTTGGTACGTTTTAAGTGTTAATATGGATTTCTCAGAGATGAGATATTTTCCTGTAATAAAATACCAAATTTCATCAAAATCTATTAAGTGGTTTTTTCGTGATACGTACATATATGTAACACATGTATACATGAGTTGTCGTGGGTTGTATTATAACGTGTTTTCCTGTGGGAATGAAATCATTTCCCGCGCTGAAAAATATAAAATTTTCCAGCCTTCCAACTTCTCACAAAAAATCACGCCAATCCGTCACTCTTTTTCGATGTGAAAGAAGGATAAACAAACAAACTTACTTTCACATTTATAATATTACTAGCAGAACCCGCGGCTTCGCTCGCGCTAAAACTACAAAAAAATCTCCAAAAAGGTAGGTTTCATACAAACTTTTTTCCTATATTTTACCCTCTTATGGAATGAATTTCGAAAAATGCTAAAACACGTATTTATTAAATTGTATTGAAGAGTATTAATACCAAGTTTCAAGTAATTCTCACACAAATATTTTTTAAATTGTATTGTTTGTTTGTTGTATTGTTGTTAGTCTAATTAATGAATTAATTTGTCACATCAAATCGCCTCCTGAGATACTGTGTGTGTAGATATATGTACTGTGTAGCCCACAAACTAAAAATAAACACGATTTATAAGTACTTGTAGAAATCTATTTGAATAAAATACCTTTTGTTACTTACTGCACGCTCTCGATTCCAGTCCCTGAACTGGTGCAACAAAAGCAAAAAATAAAAACAAAACTAATCACATTTCCAGTGTTGACATTATTTTAACGTATTATCTCATTCTTGTATATGAGACCTATATAATGTACTTATAAACAAAAATGAAGTATATAAGTAAGGCAGTGGCAGCCCAGTGCTAACTCGTTTGGGAAACCGAGTGAAGCGGGTTCAAATCCCGGGTCTCGCACCTCTGATGTGACATGTGCGAATCGTATCCAACATAATTGCCACTTGCCTTACGGAGAAGGAAAAACATCGTGAATACATACATACATACATTCTGTAAAACATGCACTTTGAAATAGAAATATTTTTAGGTATTAATATTTTAAAGGGTTAATTAAGTCTGAAAATGCAAGTTTTAAATTTCTGTTTAGCGCGGTCCCAGATGAAGAACACTTTGTAGGTTTAGTAAAACTACTACATAATAATAGTGTCCTCCCGACCAATTCTGGCCATGGCGGCAAATCTGATTGGTTAGCCAACTGAGCAGGAGATATTATAGTGCACAAGTGTACGCGCAGACACAACGTGCACTCTCTATTCCTGTCACTCTCATACTCCGGTGGGTCTTCTCGACACGATCAGTGAGAGCGCAGGACCAAAGTCTTTACGTACTCTCCGAGGCACGGGAGTGAAACATCGCCAACTTCCCAACTCCGAGCTGTTACTGAGAATTTCTTGACAGAAATACTCATTAACTGAACTTGGCCCGACTCGGACTCAAACCCAGGATCTGTGGATCCAAATATATATATATGCGGATATCCAAAGTATATTTCTCAGTTAGAAATTTTGTTTCTATATAAATTCTATAAATCTCTTTTTATCTTCTTTAAAAGAATAGAAGGCTACAAACTCAAGCGGTTTGGCTTGGCCGATGACAATTTGTGGCTTGTGAAGTATCTTGTCATCATGAGAGAAGAATTAATATAGAGATCAAAAACTAACTAAAAGCTTATGGTAATTGAATCTGCGACTTACACAGTGAATATTAATAAGACTTACCATTGCGTCATAGCGTCTTTCTTAATTTATGAACAATATCTTTATAAAACGAGTAATACTATAAAAGCACATTCATGCAAGCTTCATATATCAGAGAAATGCGTTGCATTTGTTTCTGAAAATACACGGTCATATTTTCGAGACATAATTTAATGTCAATGTTTTAGTAGTATTGTGTTATATTTTGTTATTTATTTATTAGTTTACTACAATTTTGTGTCTTGGGCGTAATCAATTTCATATATCGAAAAATTTAAATTTTTGGACTCGTAGACTTTGAAGAAGATTTTTCGAAAATTTATAACCTAATGTGATTAAAATTATAATAACACAAGTACACTTTTATTCTTTTCACTTAAACTCCATTGTGGCGAAAATTTGATATTCGCGACACTTGAATTAAGTTATGAATTATTTTAAAGCATTATTGTAATGTAAATTACTGGAATTTCTTCAAAAAAATATTATATTTCAGCGTATGTTTTCAGTTCCATAGACAATCTAGCAAATTGTTATACGATGCAGCATTGATGTATCGGCAATACTGTTAAAAGGCAAATCTAGTTTTAATAAAATTGAAACATGAATATTGAATACATTCATAAGAATTACGTTACATAAAATATAATTGTATATTTATAATATGAGGCATACAATCATTTTACTTCATCCTTAATGTTTTATGAAAAATAATATTTGTCGTTCAATAGAAAGCAAATCTATGATTATTAGACTTTTTTTGGTCCGGTGGTCTATTTACCATATAATTTGATAATCAGGCTGAATAGATTTAACCTTTGTCTAAATTATAAATAATAACAAAATTCTACTTGTGCGGGAGATATTATAGTGAGGGCGTGTGACTGTGTATATGCACACACAATGTGCATCATATATTCCTTTAATTTTAATTATCGTCCTTCTATAACAACTGGTGAGGCGTAACACTAACTCTGGACTGCTATTACGAAGCTTTTTTAACTAAAAAGTCCCACCCGAGACTCGAACCTATGGTCTCCGGAGCTGTAGTTGTACATGCTGGCCACAAGAAATTTATTAATATGTAGTTTGTTTCCGGATTCAGCCGTAAGTAATCGAGTCGAGTTTAAAAGTTTTTATAGAATAGCCCTGCTTTTAATATAAATATAAGCAGTTATAAATTTAAGTAGTTCCTTCGTTATTGTGAGAAAGGAATACTAATTAACAATATATACGCTTTTCTATATATATTATTAGTAAATACAACGAATGAATTAATATACTTTTTTAATTGAAAAGAATTAAACGCAATCTCGTATTTATGATGTACAAAATAAAATTAAGATGAAAAACTCACAAAAATCTATACATATAATAAAAGTGTAACTGATCGCTGTCTGTACATCGAAGATATTTGAGAAACTCTATTATTGGGGGGGCTTTATTATCGCAATAGAACCCAAAACAATGATTTTTAAATTTTTTGTCAGTTTGTCTGTGTGTGCACGCGAATCTCAGAAATGGCTTAACCGATTTGGGTGCGATTTTCTCTAATGTATTTTTGTAAGCTTTACTTAACATCTAGTATTTGTTTTATTTCAATAGCTTTATAAATAAACTAGCATTGCCCGCGGCTCCGCCTGCGTTCAGATGACCAAAAACCAAATTAGGTTAGCTTAGGTTGTACATATTAGTATACTCTTACAATGCAGTTTTTGTATTTTTTCTCAGAAATGAGATATTTTCCCGCGGTAAAAAGTATCATATATGTTGACCCGGATAACCAGCTATCATCATACCGAATTTCATCAAAATCTGTCCAGTAGTTTTCTCGTGATGCGGTAACAGACAGACATACAGACAGACAGACAGACAAAAATCCTAATAACTATAGATTCGGACTCTGTATCGATAATAATGTCTATTTCAATTAAATTTTGGCAAAAAAATAATGTACAGATTCGACTTAGTTACAATTTTATTATATGTATAGAAAAGTTATGTTAATTTAAAGAATCACCTAGGGACAGCGGGAAAGCGAGAGTGGGTCGCTATTTATAAATAAATATCTAAAAATATTGAAATACTTCGTTTTCACGCATTTAACATTTCCCTAACAACTGTACGCTCAATGAATTGCAAATACGAATTACGAGTGTCGTGGCCTCTCGGTCCCCTAAAAGTAATAACCAAAACATGAGAATAAATCTCGACAGATGAAAAAACTTTAACCGATACAAAATTACTTTGGAAATGTTAATATTGTTAGTGTATTTGTATTGTTTTAGCAACCTTATGCTTTAAAGATTTAAATTTTAAGGTTTCGTACATTTGATGAAAACATGAATTTTTGTCCAGTCGTATGTCTTTGTGTTCTGTTAATTTACTGGATGGAATCTGTGTATAAATAGACAAAGACAAAACTGTTCACTACCTGTTTCTCCTCAGTTTGTCAACCGATTTTCCTTTTTTTTAGTATATAGGCCTAAATGGGTCTCATGCTTGTGGTGTGGCCTTATCACGTAGGGCAATCTAGTTGTTCTATTTCTTTTCTTTTGTTTTTTTTCTTTTCTTTTTTTTTCTATTTAAGTTAAGATAGGTTAAGTATTTTGTATTACTAACTCTTAGAATAGATAAATTGTATATGTGTTTTCGTTTCATCTGTTTTTGTGTAATTATGGGTTGTTTTTTGCCTGAAATAAATATTATTACTATTATTATAT